TCAAGACCCCGCTGTCATCCTTAATGTTTACGCAGCGATCGAACACCAAAGCCCCCGCCCCTTCCCCTCCCGCTCCAGATCGAGATGGAGTGCCTCCGCTTGCGCGGTTATCTGCCGGTTTACCTCAGCCGGAGGTCTCGGCGAGGAAAACCAAACATGTTTGAAGCAATTCTAGTGATTAGAGCTGTCTAAGCTGTTTTTATAGATAATATCGAAGGCAAGATTTATCTCATGTCACCACGTTTCACTGTTTATGGAACTTAAAACCCACGTGTCCATCACTGGGCTGCAGTTGGAGTTTATTCCAAAGGAGCACAGGGACATTTACCACTGAGTGCGGTTTTGGATCCTTTTGGGACTTTTCTGGTTCATTGTCAGCGACTGCTCAGTCCAGTGGAAGTTTAATGCATCAGCAACTTTTGACAATTCTTTTTCAATGACACATTTTTTTTTTAACCTTACTGCAGCGCTTGCACATTTTTTTTTGAACAAAGTAAAAAGAAGTGGGCATGATTTAGTCAAGGAAAGTAATGAAGTACAAATAATTCATGACTGCATGTTAGCAGATGGTTCAGGGATCTGCACTCTACTTCATATGTTTTTTTTTTTTTTTACAGTCAATCCTTTTCTATTGATGGAAATCTGAGAGCAATTGACCACCCTGCCCCTCCCCGCATAAAAAGGTTCATAGATGGGGTGAAACAGATTAGTCGACTCATCGACGATACCATTTCACATCGACTAGACTCTTGTCGATGCAAAATATGCGAAATGATTCATTATTCGTGTTGCCAGTAACAAATTACTTTAAAATTGAATACAATTCTTCCTGCTTGAACTTTTCTCAAAAAAAGTAGTCCTTTTACAGTAAATTAAAAATCCAATTTCATTAAAATGGCAAAGGGAATATATTTACAATGTATTGCTTTATATACACCATGCGACACCCAAAGCACTTTAGAAAGCCTCACATTCACTTATTTGGAAAATGATCTCCTCAACTGCAGTGGTGGCTACAGCTTGTCACTCTTTTTTTTTTCTTTTTAGTTTAAAATGGCTTACTCTAACCATGACCTCTCTCCATGGCCAAAGGTACAACCAGGGTCAGTTTTTGCACCCGTTGATGCTTTATATAAGTACTCGTTGCTTCAGAACAGCTGCATGATTTCTAGTTAGCTAGCTAGCTAGCTAGCTAGCTGGGGAGAGGTCTCTTCGGGCCTGAAGTTGGCTAGCCCCTTTCGTTTGTTGCAGCGCGTTACGGAGTGAGTGAGTGGACGGCCGCAGACAAGACAACTGAGGCGTTGATACACTGCCGAGATGGACGTCATTGATCATACTGCTGAAGAGTTTAATTTGATGCTCTTTAGCAGGCTAACTATTTCAGGCCGCCTTGTCGCTCAAAGGTAGCACGACGTTGCCCCGCATGCGCACTCCCCACATACAAACCTCACACACACTGAGCTAGCGAGCTCTCGCTTTTAAAAATATATATGTGACAGTTTTCAAAATGTGCCTTTTATCATTGTTAGTAAAAAAAAAAAAAAAGTCATTTTTACTTTCTTGTTTAACTCAATTTCAGAGTCTGTACTTTTTTTATTTTAGCCTACCCAAGCCAATGAGTACTTCTACTTTCACGTGTTGTTTTAGTATCCGTACTTCTTTTAAATACGGAGTGTGAGTACTTTTGCCACCTCTGGTGCAACCCTGAAATTAGGCACAACAAAACACCTCACTGTAGCATATAATTCATCATAGCAAGTTTCTTGGCCGGTTCCTCTGCCTCGAGGCGACACTGCCAGTCGGTTTCCCAGCAGCCTGGAAAAACTTCAGCCCATCTCATCTGCGCTAGTCCCAAGTAATAATACGCTCCAACCGATTAGCACGTTTTCCTCCAAGGCGCACTAACCAAGATTTAGCCCCACATTTGTTTTGCACAAAAGAAAGAAGCATTGAAAGTGTGATTCCCCATTGAAAGTGTGAATACACACATTTGGCACAGCAATCATGGCTGCCGCGTATGTTTTTTTCGTATTCAACAGTCAGCGTAGCTCGCTGATCTGTCCGAAGTGGTGTCGATGTTCTGCTATGCTAAGATTTGACTTTCACACCTCATCTTTATATCTAGCGTGACCGCCGAGAGTGTTGAAAAGTGTTTCCACAGTGTGCGCGCTCGTCAAAACATTTTCTGTGGACATTTGTTGGTCTTGGACGTTAATGCTTGATGATTTGAGTTTTAATAGCGTGCTGCTAACTGGCGAAAGTAAAACGTTATCTTTCTTTTCTGAATATGCACTTACTTCGATGCTTTTCGGTTGATATACTTGAAAACAATAAAAACAGAGTGCGCCGTGTTGAAATTTTTACCGTTTACTTCATGGCGGTGTTTTTGCAGCCTTCTGTTTACTTTTTTGCGGCAATGTTGCACAACGCGTTTAATTCTGCATCTTACGCTCAATTTCAGTCTCAACCCGCAGAAGAAGGGAAAAAAGTTGACTCCATTTTCCAAATAAATACTCAGACCCCGCGTAGCTGCGAGACTGCAGGGACAATTGTAAAAGCGGCGACAGATCAGCCTCAGTCACCCGAACCGCCTCTGCCGTGACGGGTTTGGGTTTCGCCGATATTAAATGGAGCGTCGGTGAATAGAACGAGCGTTCAGCCTGCGTTATGTGAGTGAATGACGACAAGTGGGGATGAGCCTGATGAAGCGCCAGGCCTGTTCGATGAACGCTCTCACTCTCTCCTTAGCTGCAACCGGATCTGATCCAGGCTTTGCTAATGACCCATGCGGACATTTTGTAAATGAACAATTTGAGCTGGACCCGCATTTATTGAACGGGTCCCGGATACACCCATGATAGGTGTCTCACTGTCCAAAAATGGGGGACGATCCCCACTGTGCGTGCTTCAAGCTTTTTTTAAGTGGCGGTTACTCCCAGTTGAAGTTGATGAAAAACTGACCCATATCACAAAAGAAAACAATCTTCTTTTTTTTTTTTTCATCAATTCACGTAATTTTGTTCTACAAAAGTCCTTTAGCTTAATGCTAACTTTATGTGTAATGCTATGACTGGATATTGAGAGAAAAGCAAGAGCAATGGACAACACAAAAATATTGGCCAGTGGCACAGTCTGTTTATAACAAATAAATCCAGTTTTTTTTTCCCAAACTAACAAACTTATCATCTCACAATATAAAAAAAAAAGAATCATGCCGAAAGATCAACATTATGTTACAAAATGCATCCACAGCCTTTGCTTGCTGTAGGCGTAAAAAGCAGGATTGCGCTGGATGTCAATCAATAATTTTCAACCAAAACAGCACTTCCTGTTTCATTTTCATGCTATCAGATTTGTACGTCTGCCACTATCTACTGGTCTATAAGTAACATTGAACTCCAAACTGCACACTTTTGCGGGTCTTGACACTGCGGTAGGTTTTGTGTACAGCTTCCGGATATGCGATAAGCGACCCCCTTCTGAATCTTTCATGTGTTAACAAATCTGTGGGCTTCATTGGCTGAGTGCTCGGCATCAAATGGGGCGAGCGGGGTCAGATACGAGCTTGTTTACGGCCACTGTCACTTGTCCGTCTAATCTGCCATTGACGCCGGCGAGCGCTCGGCTCATGCTACGCATTACCGCACCATTCACCGTGCTCCACTTTCCATTAACTGCCACTTAGACGCACGGCATGTCTTCAAAGTCACTGGGCATGACATCAAATGCACGTCCACGGGCCAACGGGAAAATAGATTTGTAATCGTACCACCCGTGTTTCGAGAGCGTCACTCCCTTTCCCAAGGCGGCAGTGCTGGATATTTGAACTTGTACAGCTGTGGAAGTGATCAGGGAACTCGTGGAAAGTGCAGGACAAGATTCATCCATTTTGCTTCCCCTGTTCAAGGGGTCGCAGGGAAGCTGGAGGCGAGCCCACCCTGCGTTGATCACCTGTCAGTCACAGGGTTGAGCGCAGAGGGGAAAAAAAGTATTTGGACCAGTGTCGTACAACAGGCTGGGAGGCAGGGCATAGTCACCCTCCATTTATTCTATTTTATTTTTTTACACATAAAGACATTACAACACAAGGCAAAGAAAATGTCATTCAACTGTTCCTCTTCCTCGAAAAGTGGCCCAAAAATTTAGCCCATTTTTCAGATTTTTCTCTGTGGTTTCAAAAACTAAAAGAGAAGGGAAAAATAAAAGACTCAAATGTTCTGCCTGTAACTAATATCTCTTTTGTTGTAAGTATTAAGGGACCAAATAACAGCTTCTTTCATTCATGATATATATTTTTTAAATTAATCGATTGATTAATTTAAAAAATAGATATTATCAGAATTGTATTCTGTCAGATATTGGAGTTCACATTTAAATAAATAAATGCAAATCGGTTGGGCCCTAAAAAAAAAAAGCACTGCAGTATTTGGGTTTGTCCTTGTAACATAATGGAAAATAATATCAAGAATTACACAGCTTATGCATCACGATTTCATACGGCAATTCAATTCATTCTGCTGCTCCTTCCGGTGTGCCTACCTTGGCCGCTGGAGGGCACTATAATACAGTAATACAGACACAAATGAAGAAGTCCCCGCTCTTCTCGATGACTCAATTAGCTGCAAAAATAGTCGTCATTTTTCGCAGAGGATAAAGAATCTATGCCTGTGAGTATTGCTAATATGCATGTACAGTATATATGATACTATATATCTGTACAAGTTGTGTCACTGTATTTATAGTTTACAGTAAAATGTAATTTATTTTAAAAACAGTTTTTTTTTCTTTGACTCATGGGACGGTTATTGGCATTTCAATTCATTACAGTCGTCAACTTAATGCTAGACTAATTTGAGTCACGAGCTTGGTAACAGAACAACTAAAACGACGGCAAGCTAGCACAGTGCCTGAATGCGACCTCATTAACGTCTGCTCCTTTCTGCATGCACGCATTCCCGCCGTCCTAACGTCTGTAATCGACATGCTTGTCTCTTCTGCAGTTTGAGGGCTGCAACAAAGCGTTTTCGCGTCTGGAGAACTTGAAGATCCACCTGAGGAGCCACACGGGGGAGAAGCCGTACCTGTGCCAGCACCCCGGCTGCCAGAAAGCTTTCAGCAACTCCAGCGACCGCGCCAAGCACCAGCGCACTCACCTGGACACGGTCAGAAATGAACAAGTGTCCGCTCCGTCTGATCTCTTGATTTTTTTCCAGAGCGTCTCCATTTGCTCTTAGGAGCACTCAGGAGGAAATTGTTACGCAAAAGTTAAACACTGCACAGTACTGCGCAAACGTTTTCGACCACTTTCGCGAGCACACAATGAGACTTGTAGCGTTCTTAACTTTTTTACATGATACTTTAAAAAATATGTATTTTCCCCATCGATTAAAAAGATAAATAACTCAAATAAAATGAAGCAATTTTGAAAAATCAAAACAAATTGAAATGAATTGAATTTTAAAAACAAATCTAAACGGAAAAAAAAAGACACGCACTCATTCTTAAAAATGCAAAACTGTTATCACCCTGGTGAATAAACAAGCCGTGATTGGCGATAGCGACCAGTCCAGGGTGCACCGCACTTTTCAGTCAGCTCCCTCCCACTTTCTAAACACATGCTAGTTAACTAGTTAACTAGATCGGGTGTCGTCTGGCCTCCAAAAAGTCAGCTCATCCCGAATCCTAATGAGCGTTAAGGAAATTCAATTAAAAGTCCCCCCCCCCCCTCCAAAGAAAAAAGAAAAAAAAAAACGCTAGTTAGGACAACTGAATTGACTGACTCTTAGCTGAGTGTGTTGTGTTTATTTTTATTGGCGTTTACAGGTTGGCCCGTATGGAGCCAGAACACTAAGTAGCAAACACATTAAGTTTTGGATTTGAAAATAAATCGTGGCGTGGTAGGAAAGATGCATTGGCACTGAAAAACATTGCGTTATACACTTTTTATTTGGACTTTTTTTTTTTTTGTGCGTGTATAGTATGAATGTCACTCTTTTTTTGCAGGACACTGCTTTGATTGTTTTCAGTGTGGTCGTTTTTCAGTTTCAACTTCCTGGTTTTTACTGTCTTTTTTTTTTTTTGCTTCGAGCTTTCTGGTAGGGTTTTAGCATGTAGGGGAAGTTGTATGTTGCTGTGTTTGTATGCGTTGCTGCTTCGTGTATGTTAACATTGCAGCCAGGTTGATGAATTACAATCACGTCGTTCCTGTTTTACGTTACAGTGGTGCCTTGAGATACGAGTTTAAATTGTGACCATGCTCGGAACTTAAAACTCATCTCAAATCGTCATTTTCCATTGAAACAAATGGAAATGCTATTAACCTGTTCTAAGTCCCCCCAAAGAAACTAGATTTTTTTTTTTTTTAATTAAATTTTGTACCATATAAAAACATATGATAACATAAGTAGAATGTAAAGGATAAATGGCCGCCTGGAAGAGGATAAAGAAAAAGGTTAATTTAATCTGACTGTCATGGCAGGTCTGCCATATCGAATGCAATTTGCAAACATGCAGTAACATTTCATCTAAATTGTCCCCAGATTGCCTCAATTATGTCTGCGGAGCTTTCGCTGAAACGAAATGGATTTCATCTTTTTTTGGGGGTGGGAGGGGGAGGTGGATTTCCATTTCTAGACTTTGTTCCCCATGTGTCCACCTGTATAGGAAAGCCACCCGTGTACAGTCAGAGTCACAGTCTCAGCTTAGGCACAATATTGGAATGTGGCTTTGTGTTATGATATCAGTCAAGTTTCCCACCACCCACTCTTTCCACAAGTAGGACAAATGATACAGCTAATCTGGGCGGGCGCTGCTTACGGCCTCACATTAACACCCCGGCTAAAGGCCCACTCTGCCAAGAGCACTTGAGGGGAAAATGATTTTTAAGCTTTAATGATATTTATTCTACACAGAAGTCACGCTTGATTTTGTTGACTCGAGGCGCCGTGCCACGCCGGGCTGCAAAACAAACACGGCCCAGATGAGTGGCACTGTAAGCGCCTTTGGAATAACAAAACGGCTTATTTACAGAGGCCGTCAAGGGGGGGCTGCCATATGACATGCTATATTTGCTTTACTAATGAGGGGAGCTCAAATTGATCAGGAAATTCCAACTTTTCACTTGTCATTTGCGATACCTCAATCGGTCACCCCCCAAAAAAAAAAAAATCAATCGAGAATGTAAACACTAGACCGTCACAAAATGAGATTTTCTAATGAAGTTCGTATTCATTTTATTAGGTATTCTGAGAGAAAAGTAGAGTGGTCACATGCCCAGTCAAAAAAAAAAATATATATATATTTATGATGATTATTTGATCTTTGTATTTTGTGAAAATAAACACATAAATATAAGTTAAGACAGGTGGAAAGAAAACAATACAATTGTATTCGCTCAAAATTGTTTTCCCATCAACAGTAGTATATAGCATATTTTCACCACAATAAAAATATCAACAAAACAGCACAGGAAACTCACACGGCATTCCAACACGCTTCCTAAAAAGTAAAAAAAATATTCCACTGGCACCAGCAGATACATACATTAAAAAAATAACAACATGGAGGACAAGCTGCACCAAACGGTCAACATTTTTTGTTTCATTAAAATAAATCCAAGTGAGGAAATTGCAGCGATAGCTGGGCGGAAATCTTGAAACTTTTTTTGAAGTGACTTCAACATACAGTATTTCAGTTCTCTACTAAATGTGTGTTTGTATGTACTGCACTTTTTGCTTAAAATATTTCCTAAATTCTCATGAGAGGAGTACGGAGATTATTTCTGTAATACAGTACATTGCTACTGTTTCAAGTGCTTAATAAAAAAAATGTTGATGCTAAAATATCACTATTATTGTTATGCATGGATTTTCAACTGGAATGTTTTCGGGGAAAAATAATGAAGCACGTTATTTATTGCTTAAGATGTCAAATTCTATTTCTCTGCTTGCATTCCTGAATGGAAGGGAAAAAAGGGATTGATGCTCGGCTTCATTCATTTCTGACTTCATGATTTTAATCAAAACGCGACTCTTCTCATTTTTTTTATGACAGCTAATCTGATAGATATGTGAAACACGATATTAATAAGGCAGACTAAGATGATGTTGCTCATGCTAATCAAATTGTATTGGCCGCTGTTTTATACTCACTTGTGTTCATTTTCCCCGTCTTGCTTTTCCTTCACATTTCCTGTTACTCCTTCTCAGCCGGAAGGTAAGACTTCAACTTGACCTTTTTTTTTTTACTTTCCTTCCAATCTAATTTCCTCCCACTTTGATCCCCATTGGCGTCCTGCTTTATTCCGGTCGCTGTCTAAACGGGCATACGTTGCGCCTTCTTACAGAAACCATACGCGTGTCAGATCCCCGGCTGCACCAAGCGATACACCGACCCCAGCTCCCTGCGCAAGCACGTCAAGATCCACTCGGCCAAAGAGCAACAGGTGCGTAGAAAGGTAAGATTTGTGCACGTGGGCGAGAACGCTCGAATGTAATACAAGAACTGGACCCGTCAAAAAAAAAATACAATGAGCCCCTTACTTATGCACACATTTCAACATTGATCAATTTGTCGTGTATACAATTTGACATCCTCAATTTAATGGATGTGTCCTGTAATTTAGCCATATTTTCCTAAAATTGGTTATTTTAATGTATTTATATCTGACATGCTCATTTTGAATTTTTTTTTTTTTTTCCAACCTCATCCACCGTCCTTTTCCAAAACTTTCAAATCGAGCACTCAAGCCCGAGTTTGCCCACCCCGAGCGCGGTGTCATTTCCAGTACATTGCGTTGGTTTCCTGCCACCCGCGTAACTTTACACAAGTCAAACATTGCATTTTGCACATTATCACAGTTTAGCCCGAGTAATTTGGCTTTGGCCCGGGCCTGCCTTTCATTTTCGCCACAATAGATCAGGTTTGAGCGCAAGTCATTGTGTTCACGGTCAAAGGCCCATTCTTCTCCCTGACTGGAAATGAGTAAATAAGAGAGAATGGACTCATTGTTGTGGATAGTGGCAGGCCGCGTGATGTGTTCCGTTCGCTCCGGGCTCATAAAGGGAAACACATGTGCGCTCGTAGCATTGTTAATAAGCCGTAATGCACAATCCCCAGATGTTATGGACAAATGTCAAACGCGAGCGCTCTTAACTGGGCCTTCACAGCAAAGCAAAGCGCTTTTTTTTTTTTTTTTTGGAGTGTCGCCGCGGGGTGGAAAGCGCCGCGCGGATTACGCGTGATAAATGTTTCTCAGGGAGGGTTTCCCAGGAGGAGCTGCGCAGCCCGTGTGCACGTTTACTCCGTTTGCATCGTGAAATCGACACGATGGCGATTGAGTCGTCAAAGTATTGTGATGAGGGTGGTCGTCAAAAGATGCGCGTGGGGAGATAAAGTCGATGGCTGTGAAGAGTTTTGTGTATGTATGTTATTGCTAGGAGAGGGGGGGGGGGGCCACCAAGTTGGAACAAAGGCTGAATGCAATTCTCGGCAATAAGAAGATGATTGACGCATGCGCCTGATTGGGCGGTTTGGAATGAGGACGATGAATGAAAACATCTCTGAAGTTGACCTTGTCATGTTCCGCATTCCTGCTGATTGACTTCAAGTACGACCGTGCCACCTTTGATTCATTTTAAACATATCAGCTCAAGTTAACATCACGAGTAGATGGAAGAAATTAAAAAAAAAAAATAAAGAGTCAAAACTTCAGCACATCCGAGTTGTGGTTAGCACGGCTTCCTCACAGCTCTGAGTTTGAATTCCGGGTACTCTGGCTTTCTTCCACATTCCCAAAACATGGATGTTAACGTCCACAATTTTTTTTTTTTTTTTTTTTGCCCAGCCAACCGTTTGTTACGACGCTGGGCAGCAAAGGGAAGACATCATTCTCGCTAGTTGCTAAGCGACTTAACAGGAACAAGACTGGTGCTCTTTTCCCCTGGTTTTGATGTAAAGTCGGCAAAATGGATTCGTCACGGCTTCATCAGAAACTCATTAAAGTGCGTTCAGAAAAAAACATGGCAACATAATTCGAAACAAATAAAAAATAACATCAAAAAGTCAGATAAATGTCTTATTTTTTTGTGTTTTAAGGTCAAATGTGATGAACTTATTTTTTTACTTGTGTGACAGTGTAAAAAGTTAAAAATGTACAGCGGGCGCTTTGTATGAATTCATCGTTTTGCATTTTTTTTGTCCTCTTTCTGGAACAATCTAAGATGCCACAAGATGGCGTCACAGCCCAGGTTAATAAGAAAGTAGGAATTCTTGTCGAGGAGGTATTGTTAAAGGGATACATCGAAGTTTATATATGTGGAGGGGTCTAAATTAAACCTGGGTTGTTCGTTGAAATTACGCAGTCTTTGCTACATCAACTTCAGAGGTTGCATTTATTGAATTTAGACACGAATATGATGCATTTAGACTCGCCGTGTTTTGTAAATGATAACTCTACTTCGTACGAACGACACCACCTGACGTAGAAAATCCCGCTTCATTGTCGTGAGAAAGGTCTCCCATAGCGTACTACATCGTGGCTCGGTGATTGTGTGCTTTATTAGCCGGCTTCCAACGACGTGGGCTTTATGGCACACACACGAGACTTGGGCAGCATTATTTGTTTATAGTATTGGCTTAAAGTAATGGCTGATTGTTTGCTTGTGAGCTCTCGCTGACAATGAGAACAACATGGAAGGTGGAAGCGCACATGAAAGAAACCCAAATCAAGTGCACATTTGGGGCCGTTTGCAAGTCTTCGTCGGAGGCTTGCGGCTGATAAACAGAAAGTGAAGCATCCCCGTACCGAAAATATGTTGTTTTTATTACCGCAATGTTAAACAGTGGATATCACGAGCGTATACAAAGCAAGGCAGCTGTTGCACTCATCCCGCTGCTCCCTTGTCTTCATTTTTTTCCTGGGCCTTTTTTTTTTAACTCTAAATACAAGCAGAGTTTATCTGGAAAATTAAAGATAAGGGCGCTGTGCCCTCCAGGGGGCGCCACAGAAAGTCACTCCAAATCAACGTTGCCACCTGTGATGATTTGTGTCTCGTTCTCAGCTCCGTCCGTGTCCTCACCTGGAGCAGGACGTGCTGAGCGACTGTCTGTCCATGCAGCACCTCCAGACCTCCAGTCAGACTCAACTTCTATACAGCAGCAAGGACGGCTGCTCTCCGGGGCTGAGCCAAGACGTTTTTTCAGGTTGGACCCTCCTACGTTGACGCCTAACACCGCTCTGTAATTTAGCCAAAAAGACTCGGTAGACACAGTCGAACCTCGTTTCAATGTCGCCAGACTCCAAAAATAACGTTTTCAGCGCTATATCGTTCACATTTCAAAGTCCCGATTTCACTTTGTTTTAACGACCGTATTATTTTATTTTTCCCACACGAACCGCGGGAAGCTAACCGCCGCCGCGATTTAGCTTGTGAACAAAATGGACATCTCGGAGTTTCTTCAGCCGAAATTTCTTGAATTGATGCCAGTTTGCTTCGTCGGCGGCACTGGGAGTTGCCTATGGCGAGTAACATTCGCTGAGTTAATGTCAGAGATGAAGTACGAACGCTATGTTTACACTGCATTACATGTTCATGTTTCACGCCGTGTTGTAGCGGCCATTTTATTGGAAGTGGTGACAACGAACTACCATTGTAACGAGTCGTCGTGTCCCTCGACGTTCGTTGTCACGAGGTTCGTGTGTACTTAAAGGCCTCCTTCACACAAGCAGGCACAGACATGAGTGGGAAATGTACAACTGTACTGATATTGATTTAAAATTACATTGATTGAGTAGTTGAGCACATACTGTAGTCGTGAAAAGGTTTTTCCAGGGGAAAGTTGTGTTTGGAGTCTGGCGTCATTGTTATATTGGACCTGTTGACAGTCAACAATGGCCGAGCTCAAGCTGCGAGCCAGGACGCAAATGGTCAGCAAGTTGGCGTTTGCCAAAATCAATTTAAGCCAATTGTCAAAAGCACCGCTCGCTGCTGAACGCAGGAATTATTTTTAGGTCTGCTGTGCAAGCTGGAGCCATTCGATTGTGTGCTGGGGAATTTGACTGAGTTGGGAAGTGCGCTGTTTTGTTTTTAACTTTTACCAACCTCTCAGATCACATTGGATCTGTTTTGACATTTGACAGCAATTAAAAAAAAAAAAATCCGATATGTCATTCTTTCACCGTGAAAATTGATGAATTTTTTTACTTGAGTTGCATAACTTAAAATTTTAATCAAAGGCTCGTTGCCTGGAAATTTTTAATTCACCTACTTTTTTAAAAGAATTGTAGTATTTCGGGGAAAAAAAGGATCTATCAGTCAAGATCTGGAAAATCTAGTTTTTCTGCTTGACAAATACATTTAAAGTTGGCTACAGGGCATGTTTTGGTCTGTATCTGTTGCAGTTCTGAAGATCTGACATGCCAGAGCGTAAGACTTGAACCAAACGAAACAATCTTTTAACAAGCACTACTGCTGAAATAATCCCATTTTGTAAAGAAAACACCAGTGGGAGTAGTCGGAGCCTCTTCGCTGTTGAGCAATTCGTAGTAAAGACCGCAAGAGACTGGCCGCGTTTCAGGCGGCGTTCATTCCAAAACCGGCTCGCAAATGAGGTGCCGGAGCTTCCGCGGGTGCTCGTTGAACAACCGTGTCGGCGTGACTGACGTGGATGATGGTCGGCGCGTGCGTCCAAGCGCTGCAGTCAACACGACGACGCTCATTTGTTGCTTTGCTTTCACCCGAAGAGATTTGGAGACGCAAAGAAACGGCTCGACCGTGTCGTGGTTTCTAAAATGGATTTCTGTGGGGGTTGGTCTTCCCCGAAATCGTGTTCTTGACTCCGCTTGGTGAGTTCTGGTCTCAGGCAAATCCTGGTTTTGGAGAGTGTTGCCTTGAGCACAAGACTATGAAACCCTAACTTGGGTTTGAAACCCTTGTTTGAGACCCCAACTCTGTCTTGTCCTACTTTGAAACCCAATGCCTTGTTTGGAACCCTTGCCTGGAACCCCAATCCTGGTTTGAAGCCCTAATTTGAATCCCCAAAACCCATATTGAAACTCTCACCACTGGCTTGAAACCCTAATTGTGGTTTCAATTCCTAATTTCAAACCTTAACCCCTGTCTGAATCCCGAACCTCGGCTTCAAACGCGAACTCGAAATCTCAACCCTGGCTTAAAACCTCCGCCCTATTGTGAAATTCAAATTCTCTCTGGAAACCCGAGTTTCAAACCCTAATTTGAAACCCTACATCTGTATGGAAACCCCTAATGCTTGTTTGGAACCGCAACCTTACTTTTCAAAGCCTAATCATTGTTTGAGTCCCAAACATCTCTGACAGTCCTCAATCCATACTTGAAACCCCAATTTAAAATCCCAAACCTGCCTTTAAACCCTCATACTGTCTTGAATCCCTAATTCACCACCTTAACACGTGTTTGAACCACTAACCCATGCTTGAAACCCTACTTTGAAACTGTAACTTTGACTTGAAAAGATCTTTTGAAATCCTAGTTTGAAACCCCAACCCTGCCGCGGAAGCCGATTTGAAACCCTGAAAATAAATTTCCAGCCTTGTTTGGAAAGCCTAATTCTTGTTTATTACCCAAATGCATTGAAAAAAAACAAAACAAAGTTACGATTTTGATTTTTACTCACATTTCTGAATACATTGCTCTTCTGACTGGGAAAAAACATGCTAGCGGCTAGCATGTTTCTGGCTAGCAGCTAGCCAAAAGCTGAGCTGCAATGTGTTTGTTTACAAACTTTGTGGCTCGAATGTGATGCAGTTACACCTCTTGTCCCGTACCGTATGCTCTGTGTGGGAGCTGGAGTAAAAATGTGTACTTTTCGGTTTCAATATATGGATAGAGTTTTTCCAAATAGTTTTTTAATGTAGTTTTCATTACTTTGTTCGTTTTCATGAACTGTAATAACCCCGCCCTGCATTTGATTCTTATCCTCTCGATGGCTAGCTAGCTTTTGTGGCTACGTTTTTGACACCCAGATCAAATCTGACCCGTGGGGCTTGAGTTTGACACCTGGTCTGTATTTTATTTTTCAATGCAATCTATTTCAGTGCCAATACTTGTTTCAGTGCCACTACATATTTTTGTACGACGCTAAACTGTGACCGTGATGCCAGAACGTCATGGCAGCGTTCTGGCTGCATCCATATGAAATGAAAACACAAAATGTGAGCCTGACACGTTTCAAAAGGCCAAAGTGCGGGTGCATTCAGGGTTATTTATATTTTTACTCTGGATATTTCAGCCTTCATTCCCGGTGACAGCCAACCCAGCCCCTTTGTTTGTATTTCGTCATTTCAATGTGTCTTGTTATGCAAAGAGCGCTCGGCAACAGGCGAGCCAAGGAAACGTTTATTCGTCGTCATGCGGCCCGTCCATTTTTCCATCAGCGGGCGTCCGCACCACTTTGGAGTGGGACGGAGATAAATGCATTTTGAAGATATTCAAGACAAAAGAGCGATGCCCTTGTGGGCCTCCCGCCTTTCTGGATACATCTGTCCTTGTTTTTAGGCCTGTACGCCATCCAGAATCCCCGGTGCTCCTTCTTATTGTTGCTGGAACTCGGCGCACCGTTGACAAGTGTGTACGCTCAACATGTCTTTTGTACGTCCAAAAGGAACCTCTTGAGTTTTGGCTCTTCACCAGAGCCCTCCTCTCTGTTCTTGGATGTTGCGCTAAAGTCCCTCGAGGAGCCAGCGAAGGTGCGTGCCGGCTTTAAGTGTTGCAAGCTGGCACAGGTGTAACGAGTACTCACAGACTGCACTTCAGTGGAAATAAAGATGCACCATTTATGTTGAAAAAATTTTTGTCAAAGTAGGAGCACTGATCACACTCCTGTTGAGAGGAAATTCGACATATCCTCACCCTAACCTGACCGTAACACATTTTGCACGCGTTGGGCAATTTTGTTATGGTCAAAAAGTGTCAGGAAAAGCCTACTAGAACAAGAAAAAAACTAAATACTAAATCTAATAAAAACAAAACTAACAAAAAAAAAAAAAGAAAAGAAAAACCTGCTCTAAAATGAATTAAAACTGAATTTCAAAATCTAAAGACAAAATGAAATAAAAATGTTACAAAAATAAAAAAATCCCAACCGACGATAACCCATTTTTCATAAATCTGAGTGTGATTGGGTAATTCTGAACCGTCAAGTCCCGGTTATAAGAGGGTGTGCACACTTATGCAACCACATTTTTAAAATCTTTGATATATATACTTTTGTGGACAGGTTATAGATCACATTAATAGTGGGAAAAAAGTGTTAAACTTATGTATTTTGAGCAGGGGTTTGTAGACCTGTTTTTTTTTTTAATTCACGGTTCTCAGCTTTTACACGTTTTCAGCAATTATCTTCAAACACGTGTAATGTATTCCGAAACAAATCTTTGAATTCACTTCTACAGGGTCTTTAGCACCAACATCTGCCGCGAGAGCGGCCAAACGCCGTCGACACTTAATGGCGGTGATTGCCTCAATTTCATCACTCGTTCCACTTTGGAAAGAAGCGCGAGAGGATGTGCGATGCTTAGCGGCGCCGTCCAAAACGGTTTGGATGGCGAGGTAAAGCAGCCATAGCAGCGGGAGCACGTAAAGGCAAATAAAAGCGATGATGAAGTCCTTCCTCTTGCTTTAAAGATCGCACCCATTAGGCCGGGTAAAACTCACGGGGGCTTCTCGTAAGTCTCGCCCTGGCCGCAGTTACGGCGGGCAGACTTCAAGCAACTCGGCTCTGACTGGAAGTGTGAGTCACGTTCGCTCTTGAACATGATTCCGTTTGGAGGAAAGTGAAGCTCATGTGAATGGGAGATCCCAGATTGTCACGAGTCTTTTCCCAAAAAGATGATTCAGGCTGTTTAATGTAACTCCTAATTGAAGTTTAATGTTCGACTAAACACGAAACCAATAGCTTTTAATGCTAACAAGCAATGCAAAATTGCATACACAGGCTAACGAATAGCATCTGGATTTTTTTATAACCCTTTAAGGAACCACAAGTAGTTTCACAATCAATGAAGAAAGCTAATGAAACCATACGTGCATATTCTTTATCCTCTGCAAAGAGCGACTACTCTTACTGCGACTTACTGAGGAGTGACTGTCTCCATGTACAGTGGCGCCTTGAGATTTGCATTTTTAGTCGTCATGTGACCACACTCGTGTCTGACGGCTCGACCGTCTTCTGCTTTTTGTGACATTTTTGCTTTGTGGCGTGAATTGTTTCGAATGTAAAATGTCGTTCGCCAACAAAGATCATTCCTGATGTCATTTCTAATTTACTGTCACAATAGCAATAAAAATTGAGGGTTTAAAAAAAAAAAATTTGGTCTGTAGGTTGTCAGTCATCTCAATCGAGGTGATCCACAACGTTTGAATCGAGGCAAATGAACTCTTTCAGTTGAATATATTTTTTTTTTCATTTCTAATTTACTGTCACAATAGCAATAAAAATTGAGGGTTTAAAAAAAAAAAATTTGGTCTGTAGGTTGTCAGTCATCTCAATCGAGGTGATCCACAACGTTTGAATCGAGGCAAATGAACTCTTTCAGTTGAATATATTTTTTTTTGGGTCTCATTTTCTGACAGTGCTCAAAAACGACTTGGGACAATTTGACTTTTCATCTTACGTGCGTTGTTGGCTCGATAGAGGTTGCGAAACAACGATCTGCCCGTTGAGATGATGCAGATGAATAACAAAGGCAACCCTCTAACCGCTTCCTCTTCCTTTCAAATGTTTCTGCCGGTCGGAGGAGCACATGTAACTTTTTAGTTCATTATGCACAATAACGACAAGCAGCTGAAAGCACGACCCCTGTGGCGGCGCACAAAAAAAAAAAAAAAAAAAACCTTTCAGTTACAAAATGCACAAAAAAAGAACATTTCATGTGATTGGATCGAGGTTGTCAAAACAAAAGCCCAGTTTGGCATCAGAGGTCGTCGGAATGCGCCGAAAAGACACGCCGGACGCAGTACAGAGCCTGCAGCACGTTTGGCACGTTTGACCAATTAGCTGTGTTTGTCTTTCAAGGCTTGTACCCCGGTGGCCCCCACCACCACAGCGCCTCCGCCGAGCTCCTCGCCACCCCCGCCGCCGCCGCTGCCAGCGCGACCGCCGCCGAGCTGCCCTCACGACAGCACTGCCTGGCCCTGGA